CCCCCAAAACCCCAAAACCCCAAAACCCCTTTGAAGGACATTGATTTGAAATATATTAATTATTAATTGGGCTTGTCAAAAACTTATTCAAGACCACCTCTATTCCTACCTTTGTTTGTCATCAGTTTCGTATTTATCCCAGGTCTTTTCATCACTCTTTTCCTTCCAGCAAGGAGGTCCCTGTTCTGGTCATTTATATTTATCTTTGTGATGAGACCTTTTTTCTTGTAGCTAATACTAGGCCTCATGAGGCCAGAGAGATCCTCCTCCTTAATATGTCTTGGGCTTTCTGTAGTCTTGTAGTCATTATTCTCCATCATCTTTTGTGAAATTCTTTTACTTGATCCGGTAACTGAGTTCTTACTCTTTCCACTAGTCATTTCGTCCTGCTCTATAGAGTCTTGACGATGAATTCCCATCTCAGTCTGAACTCTGCTTTTAGGATCTCCTTCCTCGATCAGTAAGGTTTTGCTCTTCCCAAAATACTTATACGCAGATATTTGCTTTTTAGATTTTGGCTCTTCATAGCTATCATTCGAGTTAAATTCATCAAGGTATTCCTTAGGAATATCTTCCTTGGAGTAATCATAAGTGATTTCAGTGTCAAACCTAGGAATAGTCATTTCGAGGGTATCAAGGCCGAACTTCTGTGCCTTTTTGATTTTCTTATTATACCTCTCCTTTAGCTCAATAATTTTCTTCTTCAATGATTTTGTAGTTAGTACCAACTTCCTATTCAGTCAGTATAGATTGCTGTTCTGTTTTCTTAATTGGATGTTTTTATTTACTTCATTCGTCCATTTCATTCTCAAGGATTTTTATCTTCTTCCTGAGAGATTTCACGCTCAATTCAAGCTTTGTTGCATATTTATACCAGTCCTTGAATTCCTTGTTGTGCTTTAGTGTTGAGAAATCTAATTTTGGCACTTTCTGGTTCTTTTTCTTTGGCGGGCCCAAGCTGAAGGTCTTGCTCATCGCGCCCATACCTGATAAACCGCTTAAATTTGACATGTTTAAAGGTTTTTCTTGGTCCTAAATTATGAGTCAGACTATGGGACTCCAGAATCTCCAGATAACTTTCAAAGGAAGACATGAATTAAATTTTCAGAAGAGTTTAGAATTAATTTTAAAAGATAATATTTCTATCACTTACATCTACAATGTTGATTTCTATATCTTCTTCTAACTGTTCCCGCTCGTATGGGTCTGGCTCTTGGGACCCGATAGAGCCACTACCTTCAACTGTCTTAAGTCTTTCTTTGACTTTGAAAATATCTTTGTCAGCCTAGACAGAATATTAGGTCAAGCTGAAACGACTCTGAAACACTTTATGGATCACTTACTTCATCTAGCTTATCCCTGAGGTACTTATTATCAGTTTCAAGATGATTATTAGTTTTGAGGATCTTCTTAAAAGTCTCAAGGAGTTTAGCCAGATTATCTTCCAAATACCTCCCATTTGTAACCTTGATGTCAAGGAGAGCAAACATTTTACTCAGGGATGCTGAGTTAGATATCCCATATGACTCCCGAGTGCTGGACTCTAGATGATTTCTCTTTTTCTCATACTCTTTCTGCAATTGCTCAAATTCAACATTTTTAGCATTGATGATCTCTATCAGCTCAGATTTTTGTTCAAGAAGATGGAGGCATTTCTCTTTATAGGCATCATTCTCCTTCTTAATCTGTGCTATTGCAGATTGTGACAAAGAGGAGAGGCTCTTCTTAGTATCAGATGCCTCTAAAAGTGCCTGTATCATTTGTTTGTTCATCTTGTCCTTCTCTTGAAGATCTTTTATGTACTCCAGTAGCTGCTGATCGCCTGAACTCATTAAAAATCAATTATTATTATTGCCAAAGGGGTTTTGGGGTTTTGGGGTTTTGGGGTTTTGGGGTTTTGGGGTTTTGGGG